AATGATGCTTATATAACACGTGTTTTTCTATAACTTCACAAGTCTTCTCGAGTTTAGGAACACAGGCAGTATTTTAGTTGGAACCCTTTTAAACATCAAAATCTCTAAGAAAAAGCTCAAAAATGCAAAAAACTACCACTGGGTAGATTGTGAAAATGGTATTTGTTTACAGTATGAAAAATAAAACAAGCATTCATAAAGTTGGCTTTGTTTGACCTTAACTGGAAATGTGTGCATTCAGTAATTTAAATTTTTCAAAACTGCACAGGACTCTGAAAGATCTGTGAATACTGATTTTGGAGTTACAAAACTCATGGAAATACTATAGGCAAATTTACAAGTGCAGAATCTGTCAATAATGAAGATGAATTGTACATATCTTCTTTCTCTCTCAATAATGATACTGTCACTGAACAGAGTTTGAGAAGCTACTCCAAGGAACAGATGACCTCAATTTGGCCTACCCTGTAGGTTCTTGACTTGTCAAGAAAAAAACTTTTAAGGCAAGGCATGGACAGATTTTGTTAAGCAGAGTTAAAAATGGACATAGGTGTATATGTGTTCTTGGAGTTATCCTTTAAGACAGGTCGTCTAAGCAGTATTTCCTAAAAACATACTCTGATTTCTGTTTCTTCATCTTAATTCCATGAAGAATTTTTCCCTTTACCTTCTCAACTAGGTTAGTTTATGAAGTTATAAAATCTTTTCTTTATTTTTAAGAGGGTAAAACTAAACATAACAACACAGAACAAAGCAGATCAGAAGAAAACAATGTAAGTGACACAGATTTCAAAGCAAGACAACAGGAGATCTACAGTGGCTACCATAATGTGTCTTGTTTTCTTCTAAATAGTTGTCTATATGGTAAGATTACATAAGATACAAAATCCTCAATAAATACAGTGAAAGGATAAGAATCTGCTCAAAGGAGAAAAAAGCCCCAATATCTCAGGGAAAAAAAGGAAAAAGAAAAAGGAAGGGAAAAGAAAAAATATCTAAATTTGTATAAACACACTTGGGATAGCTAAGATGATATTGCTAAAAATTCTGTAAGTTTGCGGAACAAACAGTTAACATTCATAGTACTTGAACAATTTTGCGTGTTTGTGTCTTGTGATCTGAGCAACTCTTAAAGATCATTATGTAAAATATCTACCTTAGTTCTGTTCCTACTACCTTCTTTTGAAGTCATAGTATCTTTAAGGCATTTTTGGGTGATGAACCTCTAAGCAAAAGCAGATAAGCCTAGGGTTCCTAAACAAGCCTAAGGAATACAAATTTGGATCCTTGGGTAATTTTGTGTCCAGAAATTGCAAATCACTTAAGCATTCCTTGCCTCTTTTCTGCCTAACTGTATTTCTTGATATTGTCCAATAGTTACCCAGATAACAATGTAGCATCAGCCGTTTTTCTTTCTCATCCCTTATCACTACAGTGAATCAATTACCAGCATGTACCTCCTAAATGTCTCTCAGATTCTATTTCATCATTTTAAATCTAATTTTCCCTTTCTTCATTTTACTGTCTGCAATTATGGCATTCAATGTGTGTAAAACTCTTACTGTAACTAGAGCTGATGCTCAAATAATGTAAAGAGCCCTCCAGCCACATCTCTTGTCATCCCTATACCTTGCACTCTAAAATGCCAGCCCTGGAGAACTGTCATATTCATATGTGATGTCTCCCCCACTTCACAACCTTTTTTATGTCTACTAGAATCATTATTTTCCTGGCTTACTCTTCTGATTCATTCTTCACTTAGGAGTATAAATGATTGTTTTAAACCTGTTTTCTTTTTTGACACCACCCACACAATAAAGTGCATTTACAGTCTCTCTCCTCCCCCTCTCGTCTCTCCTCTCCTCTCTCCCCTCTCCTCTTTCCTGTCTCCCTCCCCTCCTTCTCCTTTTCCCTCTCCCTGCCTCTCTCCCTCTAGGCCCTCCATACTACTCCAATCCATAGTATTCTGCAGTTCATTTTAATATAATTGCTTATTTATTTGCTAGTCTTTCGCTGTATGCTATAAGTTCAGTCAAGGCTTGAAGGCCTGACCTGTCACATGGCAAGTTCTTGGGTATAAATATGAATTTTCTATGATATTGTGTGTATTATCACAAAGCCTTGGACCTGTGTAATACTAGTGATGAATGGAAGAGAGGAAAAAAACCCTTTCCTTTATCTGCCTGTTATTTTGTATCTCTTTACTTATGTGTTCAAACAGCTTCTTTTTTAAAAAATGTAGGTGATTAAGAAACTTTGTATCGGAACTAAAACCTGTGAGGCTCTTCACTAGTTACTTAGCTGCTCTATTTCAAACAATTACTTTTTAAACTCATGCTTTAAGTATTAAGAGGACAGAACTGCCAAAGGGAATAAAATAATCAAGCATAAATTCATTTAGTGTCCATTAAGGAATATCTAACTTACTTTTGTAAGTAAGGAAGATAAATATTTTTTATTCTATTCATGTAATATCTAAAAGGCAAAACTGTATCCAGTTTGAAATTAAGTAGCAGCTCATGATTTGATTTTTTATATAGAATTTCATGTTTTCTATAATTAACCAAAAAAAAAAAAGTCAAATTAGCATATTGTGATCTAATTGGAAAGAATGCTTTCCCTAAATTCCTAAGTAAGCATATATTGACTAAAATATGTTGAATAGGTATGCCACATCGGAATGATAAAGTTGTTTAGGGCTTAATGTGAACCTTAAAATAAAAAAGACTTTCAGTGTGTACAGAATGTATTTGACATTTAATACCACTGTGCTGTGTACTAGTGGCAAGTAGGAAATAACTTTAACAAATTAAATAGTTTCCACTTATTTCTTAAATAGAATCATTGCTTATTCATTGACTTACGGATGAAAAAAACCTTGAGATACCTGTTCTATTTGATTTCATTGTATAAGCAGAAAAACTTGTTATATATAATTGTAATCACTGTAGTATTTTAAGACCCTTGTTTTTAAAGTACAACAGGGCTTAACCAATTGTAATCCATGAGCCAAGTCCAGATTGCTACTTGTGTCTATGTACTTATTAACTGAAAATATTTTTCATGTTTTTAAAATCAGAAGAAAATAATATTTCACAATAGATGAAAATTTTATAAAATTCGAGTTCACTTTCCACAAATAAGATTTTATTGGACCCAGACACACTTGCTCATTTATGTGTTGGCTCTGGCTGCTTTTGCAGCACAAAAACAGAACAGAGTTTAGTAGTTGCCCACCAACCTAAATTATTTACTCTCTCACCCTGCAGAGAAAATGTTTGCAACTCCTGAGCTACCTTAGTGTGATTGCATGACCTTGTACCTTAAGTGAATCTTCTCAATTTAGGGTAAATTTAGTAATGAAACAAGTCATGTTAAATAAAATTCCTCAAATTTTAGGGAGACAGAAAAAACTGAGCAAATTGGATGAGCCTTTCACTTTTTTGCTTTTTTATTTGTTTGTTTGTTTTTGTTTTTGGTACCAGGGATCAAACTCACGACCTCATGCTTGCCAGGCAGGTGCTTACACCGCTAAGCTAAATCCCTAGCCCTTAAGCCTTTCACTTGTATCATCAATTTCATGTTTTTTTAAATAACACTCGCATAAATGCTTATTACTGGCAAACACTGTTTTAAGAGCTTTGTTACTTTTCTAAATACTCACAACAACCATATGAAATTGGCATTTCTGCAAATGAGAAAAACCACAGAACATGTGTAGGTGGAAGTTAAATAGTAGGATTTAAATTGGTGGAAAGAGAGTGATACAGGTGTTTATAGCAGTTATACAATTAATAAGGAGCACAGCCACAATTTTAATGTAATCACTTGTTTTCAAAATCGGTGTTCTTTACTTCTGTGATGTGCTATTTTTTTTTTTTTACTTTTGCTTATTTGGAAAAGCCTTTGATATAAAATGAAATTTAATCATATGGTATATGTGGGTTATTTTAAAAACCTTGAGGTTTGCACTAGTTTCCGATAGGGGCTACAATAAGAGTGCCATATACTAGGTGCCCCAAGATAGCAGAAATTTATTCTATTCGGTTCAGGTACTTCAAAATTCAGATTCAAGGTATTAAAAAGACATTACTTCCTCTGAGACTCTAGGTAGAATCCTTGCCTCTTTCTGACTTCCACTGGTGATATCACCAATTCTTGGTATTTTTGGTTTTTAGCTGGATTGCTTTAGTTTATCTTTTTATTCACAGGGTGACAACCCACTGAGTCTGCACTTCTGTGTCTTTAAGGATATCATTTAAGTAGTGAAGCTCACCCTATGCTAATGTAACCACATCTAATTTATCTGGTTACATCTGCAATGGTATAAGGTCACATTCTGAGGTTCTAGGAATGACATGAAGTTTGGGAAGACACGGTTGAAGCCAGTACGGAACTCATGCGTACAGACCTTGTGAACTCAATATTGTTCTCTCATTTTCACCTTGGAATCCCTAAATGAAATACGGAAATTGGATACCAAAAACATTCAGGGATTTGTTTCTTTTTTGAAGGGTTCAGTCCAGTGACTATTCTGTTGGCAAGATGGACTTACCATTCTTAGTTCTTATCCTTTTTTTATGTTCTGATAGCCTTTGCTCATGATTTATTTGAAGGCTGGTTTTAATTCTGAACATTTTTCTTCTGGGGTATCCTAGGAGTTTTAAGGCACATTTTTCTCATTTGTTACTATAAGCAATGGTGGTTTTCCTTCATTTTTTTGAATTTATAAATTTGTGATTATTGACCCAGAAAATAGTTTGGTTTTACAGGTAGTTGAATTCTGGTAATTTTGTTGTAAAAATCTTATGTCCCTTTTATGGAATTTGCAAGTAAGGATTAATAAATGGTAATCATTAATTTTTATTTTCAATAATTATTACGATTGTGAAAAATAGCGGTGCTGCCTCAAATTCAGACCTGGAGTTTTCTCTTTTCCCTTGGAATTTAAGAGTACTACTCCAGCTGCGTCAGCTTATCTCTTTGTGTTCATTTTACAGGGTGCCCGGGAAACATTTGAGAACTACTATCGAAAACAGAGGCGAAAACAGGCCAGATTGGTGCTCCAGCCCCCGTCAAACATGGTAACATTTCCCTTTTCTTGTCTGGTAACTGAGTGTGTGTGTATGATGTGGATGTGTGTTGCCGTACGAATAGCAAATGGTATCTATTGATTGTTGTGTCAACCAGTCATGTACATACTAGATATGTATTGGTTCACTTCGTTCTATCATCAACTGAAACAGAAACACTGAAACGATACCAAGATTTTCAGGCAGGTTTATTTATGTTGAAGGGCACTGAGCCGGATCATTCCCAAAATATCAGAATTTGAGTGCTCAGGGAGGGAAGTTTTTATGTGGTTCAAAGGGGAAATACAGAGTCATAGTATTTGTCTTTGATTGCTTCTTGCAATATGCATCGCAGTGACCAGGTACCAAGAAACAGAAGTGACAGGAACCGTAAGAGGGACTGTTAACCTGGGCAACTAACAGAAGCTGAAGTAAGGGGGGCATTGTCTGCCAACTTGTCATATTCATTAACAGTCTGCTCAGGGGGAAATAGAACTCTAGGCAGATGTTAGGCACCCACAGGAGTGTCTTAGATGTCACAGTTTGAACTGGGCTGAGAAGCCCTGTCCTCTCTTATAGCTTCTTGGCAGACAGTGGGGCTCCTCACAGGAACCATCTTGTTGCCATCAGGAAGATGACTGGTATTGACGTTGGGGAAAGAGGCAAGTCTTTCAGCAGCCTTATGAGCATTTTCTTAACAGTCACTGTAGGAACTTCTGAGAATGTGGCTTGAATGACTTACCTAGCCTCAGGCCTTGTGGCCCCTGATTATGTCTTTGTTTTGCCAATAAATCTCAGTCTTTGTGGTTTTCATATGTAACTGAACAAAATGCTCACAAGTTCAACATTCAGCCATCAGGTACTATCAGTATGTCTATCTTACCATCTCGGCAGTGGTGGTGAACCTATGGGACACGTGCTGAAGTTGGCACTCAGAGCTCTCTCCATTGGCATGTGAGCCAAGTTGCCCCAGGAGTTGAGCATCAGATCTTTTTTTCTAAACTAAAGTTCAGTATTACTCAGGTTTAATTGCAGTGTTGGCACTTTTTAATAAATAAGTGGGTGTAATTGTCACCTTGTAGTACCCTGCTTATTGAATGTGGTTCTGGGCATGGAAGGCCCCCTGAGAATTACTGCCAACAGCATAAAAGGTAAACTAGAGGAGAAGATAATGGGCTGCCAGTTCTCCTGGAGAAACTTGTCAAGGTGGTTTTCCTGATATGAACTCAGCCGTTCTCAATGTTGGAGGGGCTCAGGTCCTCACTGTCACTGAGAAGATGGCTGCCATTCTTTTGGGGGGAGTTTTGGTGCTTGAGGATTGCTTCCTGGTTCTAGTGGAGATCCTCCAGTCTGGTGGCACAGATACTTAATTCCACCAGTGCAGACTTTCTAGCTTCCACCACTCACCTTTGGGCCTTCCCAGTACAGATCCTTGATACAGATTTGCATGGGACATTGTTGTGGGCACTAGACAGGATTTGTGGAGGATATTGCCATGGGTTCTAGGTCTTCAACTGGACTCATGCAGGACATTGATGTGGGACCAATGCCCTCAACTGGATACTTTGGGTCTCTCATGTGTGGACAGACCCCCTCTATTGTTCTACATTTCACATTTTTGTATACATATCATAAAATAATCCTATAAATTATGTATTAAATCTGTTCCCTTGCAAACCTTGACTACAACAGTGACTTTTGTTTTGTGGTTTGGGCACTTGTCTCTAAAAAGCTCACCATCATTGGTTTAGGGCACTGAGCCTCAAGATTAGATAGCTGATTTTAACTTTGCCTTAATGTAATAAATTAGAAGCAGTAACTTTTTCCTTTTGCTCTGTTTCAGCATGAAACTTTAGAAGGCTACAGGAAATATTTTAATCAAATCGTAGGGTATGTATATGTATATTTTCAAATTTTTCTTTACTTTCAATTCATAGATTTGTGAGACTTGGAAAAATAAATGATATATTCATTAGGAAATTATTTTTACTCTTTAAAAAATTCTTAAGACAGGTTTAAATTTTTTTTATGTGTGATTTAAGAACATGCTATTGGTTTCAGCATTATATTGTTGAGTACTTTTTGTGGATAAAGGAAGACATCAAATTGTAATTTTATTATATTGATGTTTTATTTCTCTATTGTTTGTGTATAAAACCATATAGTCTTCCAAAGTTGACAAGCTTTTTCTGAAAGAGACAGGTAGTATTTTAGGTATAAATGGCCATAGACACTGTGTCACAACTCTTCAGCTATTTCATACTCTGAAAGCAGCTACAGACAATGTATAAATGGGTGAGAGTGGCTGTGTTCCAGTTAAATAATCTTCATAAAAATAGGCAGTAGGCCGAGTTTATCCTGTGGGCTGTACTATCACCATCATCTAGCCACTAGAGTATGTATAGTAGTATGGGGTTTTAATTCCACAGGAACTATTCCTAATATCGGCAGTTTGTTCTACTTTAAAATAATGACTACAGTTGAAAGACAGGGGCATAAGTTGTATTCTTCCATTAAATTTCTGTCTTTTTTCATTATCAGCTTAGATTTTTTCAGTGTATTTGATAATTTTGATTAAGATATATAATTTCCTAATAAAGAATTATTTTAATTAACAAGTAACAATAAGCAAGATAGCTGAAGGTACATTTTAAATGCATAACAAGAAGCCACAAAAGATATTTAAAAATAAATTTTCTTTTAAAAAAACATTTGTAAGGTACTTTTTCAACATTTTGTTAAGAGAGTCTACACTTTGATATAATGTTGGATATATATATATATATGCATACATATTGATAGATATATACTTGTATATATATCAGCATAAATATAAGATTTCATTATCTCTGAAAAATCTGTTACCATTTTTCAACATATTGGTGACCTGGTTTTTAAAAATAAATGGAAATTAGATTTGGATGTGGCAGTGCATACCTGTAATTCCAGCACTCCAGGCTCAGGTAGGATGATCATCGGGTTCAAGTTTTGGCTTGACCACATAGTGACTTAGGGTGACCCTGTCTCAAAATTTTTAAAAGGGTGGGTATGTAGGTAAGTGCAAATACTCTGGGTTCAATCTCCAGTTGTGGATATAATTCTCAGTCTAAATAGTCACTTTCTGATAACAAAAATAGAATTTTATGTTTGAACTTGATGACAGCTGTTAATGTTTTTCAAATCCTAGAGGTATTATTACAGCTAATTTCTGACAGCTATTCTTTTTTCTTCTATCTTAGCTTTTTTGTGGTTGAAGATCACATTTTACATACAACCCAGGGCTTAGTAAATAGAGCCTATATTGATGAATTATGGGAAATGGCACTTTCAAAAACCATTGCAGCACTCCGTACCCACTCGGTACGTATGAAGAATTCCAAGAATTTTTAGAGCTGATTATTTATATACCATACAATGTTTCACTGCTGTAAAATCAATATATGTATATCTTTGGGATTACCTATTTGTAAGCTACATATGTCCTTCAAAAGCATAAGGAAGAAGCATCGTCTAAATGTTAAATTCTTGTGAGCTCACTTGCATGGATATTCTTTGCAAAAAGAAAACAGCATTTAACATCTACTGATTGTTCTCTGTGTATCAGGCATTGTTCTTTATATTTCAGACATGCTGTCTTAGTTTCTCTTCTTTGCACCCATACTGATGTAGTTATTATTATACTCATATTGTAGTATAGCAAACTGACCTTAGAGAGAGGTTAGGTAACCAGTGTTATGTCGCAGAGTAAGATTTGGAACTTGGATTTAAAGCCAACTGTGGCCTGTTTGCTTAGCTTCTACTTCATAATCACCTGCTATCCTTTAATATTTTCAACACAGATTTGGAATTCATTGTTTACTCCTTGCTTTTTGATGAAAAAAGTTTATGACATATAAAGTTGTTATAATAATTTTTGATAAATTTTAACATGGCATGTATTTTTGATGATAATCTACATTATTTCAGGAAATAAACACTAGTTCTGAATTATTCATTCATTTAGTACATTTTGAACTCTTGCATTGGTAGTGGAAATACAGTGTTAAACAAGAGAGAGAAAACCTTTGCTCTCAGGGAGTTGTATTTTAATTGGAGGAGTTACCCAAATAATTCTATCTGGCAGGGATAATGCAACTCTGAAAATGAAAATAGTATGGTACCAAGCTTTCTTCAGTTAGTGTGTGTGTGTGTGTGTGTGTGTGTGTGTGTCTGTGTGTGTGTATAATGTATATGTGTGTACATATATACAAAATAGATAACTATACCACTAATCTGCTAGTTTATCAAAAAGAACAATTTGTGTTTTCATTGTTTGATCTTTTTTATCCCTATCTTTTAATCTGAATAACTACTTTGAAGATAACACTATACAATATATTAACTAGTGTTAATTTTCTATTATTTTGTTTTGAAATTCTGTATCGTTTTTATTCTCCTTTGTTGTTTTAAAATTAAAAAGTAATTGGCATTCTGAGATGAAATTATTAAGGAGTCACCTATTAAGGACACTTTTACTTTAGACATAAGGAACAGTGGCATAAAGGCTTTCATGTACAAAGTTTTTGAGGAGTAATTGTCAGGAGTCAATAACAAGAGAATTTTATATTTCAAAAAATTTCATTACATGGCTCTTATATTCCTCTAGTTGTGCCAGCTAGAAACTTTATAAAGTCATCCATGATTCTACAGTTCTCTTTGTCTAGTGTGCTAGCAGGTGAATAGCTATATACTAGATCTATAGTGAAAGGTAGCATAGCACTTTTGGACCATTAAAAGAAATACAAAATTGTAGAATACAGAAAGCTAGGCAGGTAAAGTAAGAAGAATGGAAAGAGAAGAATTACTTAGAATGAATTCCATAGTTGGTTGAATTTGGTGGGGGGTGAAAGAAAACAACAGAGAGGTGAGGGAGGGAGGGAGAGAGAGAGAGAGGCAGAAAGAGAGAGAGAGAGAGGGAGGGGAGGGAGAGGAGAGGGGAGAGAGAGAGAGAGAGAGAGAGAGAGAGAGAGAGAGAGAGAGAGAGATAGAGAAACACTATGTCTGTGAGCATGGATAGACTGCAATGAGGTAACCAGATCTGCATTTTGAACAGCTAAGTTTTTCTGAAGTATAGGTAGTGTATGAGAGTTAAGAATTGACCAGAGAAAAATTAGTAAGTTAGTCTAATACTCTCAGCAGGAGATGTTAGCTTAGATCAAGAGAAGGTAGAGGTTGTAGAGATACGATGATGAATTCAAGAAAAATTTTTTAGAAGTAAAGTTAATTATACTTTCTGATGAATTAGGTTTAAGAGGTAACAGGAAAAAAGATTTCTTGCTAATGTATAAGTGTATGGCTGCTTTCTTTGTTAGTAAGCCTTCTAAATACCTGGGACAGTCAGCTTATAAAGAGAAAAGGTTTTTTGGCTCACTGTTCTGGAAGTGTCAACCTACTTTGCCCAATAGGTTTGGGCCTATGGGAGCATAGTACCTCATGGCAGCAATGCTTGGTGGAGAGGGACCATTCACCAGGACAAGACAAGAGGAGGAGTGCAAAGTGAGACAAAGTGGTGAGGAGAAGAAACAGTGTAGCCATATTCAACAACTGATATTCAAACTTAATACGGTCTCAATCAAAGTGCCAACAGAATTCTTCACAGAACTGGATAAAACAATCCTAAAATCCATATGGAACCAGAAGAGACCCAGAATAGCAAAAGCTTTCTTGGTAACAAGAACAAAGCAGGAAGCATCACAGTCCCACACCTGACATCATACTAAAAAACTATAGTGATAAAACAGCATGCTACTGGCACATATGGCCCAATAGAACAGATATAGAATCCAGCAATGACCCCAAATACATTCAGCTATTTCTTCTTTGACAAAGGGGTCAAAAACATACACTAGAGAAAAGACAGCCTCTTTAACAACTAGTGCTGGGAAACGTGGCTACCCATGTGCAGGCTGCTCACTATATGAACTAAAATCAGAGTAGTGCAAAGATCTAAAGTTAAATCAGAAACACTTAATCTGGTACAATATACAATAGATAAAACTCTTGAAGACATAGGTGTAAGCAAGGTATTTATGAACAGAGAAAACCCTAGTTGCACAGGAAATAGTAACAAGAATCAACAGATGGGATCATATCAAATTAAAAAGCTTTTGTAAATAAAAGAAATAACCAGCAGAGTGAGGAGACAACCTACAGAATGAAAGAAAAAAAATTACCAGCTATTTCTTAGATAAAAGACTAATGTCTGGAATGTATAAGGAACTCAAAAAATTAGACCCTCTAAGCTAAAGCTCTAATAAAAAATGGGCAAGTGTAGTGAAAAGCATTTCAGAGAAAAACAACAAATGGCAAATAAATATGTGAAGAAATGCTCAATATTTCTGGCCATTACAGAACTGCAAGTTAACATAGCATTGAGGTTTCATCTCGTTCAGAAAGAATGGCTATCACCAAGAAATCAAATAATGGGTAATGGTGGCAAGAGTGCAGGGAAAATGGAACCCTTCTGCACTGGTGAGAATGTAAGTTGGTACAACCACTATGGAAATCATCATGGAGATTTCTTTAAAAATTGAAAGTAGAAGTTCTGTTTGATCCAGCTAGTCCCCTTCCAGATATCTTCCTAAATGAGTAGAAGACATCATGTAATAATGATACATGCACATTCATGTTTGTGGTAGCACAGTTCATAATAGCCAAATCTTAGATGTAGACTATATGTACATCAGCAGATAAATAGATGAAGAAAATATATCATTTATATACAACAGAGTATTGTTCTGCCTTAAATAAGGATAAATTTGAGTAATTTTTAGGAAAATGGATACATTTTACATTAAGTGAAATAAACCTGAAGTAGTGTACAAGTTTAAATTTTGCATGGTTTCCTTTATATGAGAAATAAAATACAAATCAGGAGCAAAATAGAAGACAGATAATAGGAAATATGGAGATAACCCTTTCTCAAAAGGGAGAAGGATCACGAGATGGAGGGAGGTAGAGGGGAAAGGAATGAAAAAGAATTCTGATCTTATGTACAGGTACTAATTCCACACAAGAGGTACAATCATTATGTACTACAAACATGTCCTTAATGGAAACAAGAAGCTGAAAAAAATTATTAGCTTATAGAAATGTTAATCTAGATGGGATTATACAACAATTGCAAAGATGCTGCCTAATTTTGATAATAACTACCTAATTACACAAGAGTACCTTATTTGCTAGAAAATATGTACTGGAATATTTCTAACCTACTTTTAAATGGTTCAGTAAAAAAATGTTGTGTGTACGAATAGTTGGCGAATCTAGAAAAATGATACATGGAAGTTTTGCATACTTTCCTTGTAACTCATGATGAAAATTATATCAAAATAGGAAGTTTTTCTCAACCCCACAAAGGTAAGAGTTTTAGCAGTTGTGGGTTTAGGTTGGTTTAGATCCAGGCAATACCTGTTCCTAGAAGCTTCCTTCGATGCAAAAATTCTCATAGACTGGCTGTGTTACAATGGGTGACCTTTTGATATAGGAACAAACTCCTGAAGATGTCCACCTACAGTAGAGGGTGGTCAGTCTGTGAGGCTTTCCCATCTGTGACATCTCATGACAGTTAAATGCTCTTGGTGACTTCATGGACAGCTTCACCAAGAATGAGCTTCTTTGAACTCATCTGCCAGATTTATTAGACAGTTTGGGATAAAAGAAATTTCAGGAGGAAACATGATTCTTGATATGTGAATTTTTAAAAAGAAAATGTAACAGTATTTGTGTTATGGGTTAATGAAATAATGGCAGTCATACTTCCTTTGCTTTACGTGGTTTGGGATACTTATGTCAAACTCTGCTTGTGCAGAAAGAAAACAATACAAATATAATTGCATCAGTTCATACAAATGGGAGAAGCAATTGTAAAATAAAGCTATGGAACAGTCTTTTTATATATGTTTTCTTAAAAAGCTATTAGTAGGCAGAGGAGGAGCTGGGCAGATCTGGGGTGCCCTCACTGGCCTCTCTGCGTGTCTGGAGGACTCTGGATTTCTGCGCCCAGACTGCTGGAGTTCCCTCAGGCTTCCAGGTGCAGTGAAGGAGAGAGGTGGGTTTGAGGCTTCCACATCAGCCTCCCCATTCCCGGCTTCATTTGGAGACCTGCTGAGCTCCCGATAGGTGGGCTGGCCCACACTACCAGCCTAGCCCAGCCTGTTTAGCTGCCGCGCCTGGCCATAGGTCTGCAGAGGAGGAGCTGGGCAGATCTGGGGTGTCCTCACTGGCCTCTCTGCGTGTCTGGAGGACTCTGGATATCTGCGCCCAGTCTGCTGGAGTTCCCTCAGGCTTCCAGGTGCAGTGAAGGGGAGAGGTGGCTTTGA